TGAGGACCCGAGTTCACCCCCCAACATCCTCCTCTGGCATTCTCACACACACACACACACACACACACACACACACACACACACACAGGTCCAGAGATGCCTACTTAGAGGAGCCAAGAATATGACCCAGCACTGGGCTTCTAGTGAGCATTAGTCCATGCAGTGAGAACTCTGCTATCTCTTTCTCTCTACCTCTTTCCCTCCCTTCCTCCATCCTTCCATCTCCACCATACTCTTTCTTGCTGCAAAGACTACTCAGATGTGTCTTGCTAGCCATAGGTGTGAGCCAGTACAAGTGTGAGATCTTGGGGACCCATTTCCTAAAGACTTTCTTATTTCACATGGTCCTGGGATCCCTCCAGGAAAGGGGCATTGCCCAGATTGTGACAGGTGAGAAAGGATGTAGGGTCCACTGGGAGGACCCCAGTAGCCTGGTGCACTCCTTCCCTGCCCCTGCCCATCTTACTGAGGCAACACCTCCAGGCGTTAGCAGAGTCTTATCTCATTTAACTAAAAGCCCAAGCCCAATGGCACACCTGCACATGCATGCTTCTTTGGGGATGTGGCAGCCTTTGCACCCCTTGTCCTCTTGGCAGCCTTGAGGTCAGCTGGCCCTGGCCTCCTGTGCAGTCTCAGGACTGATCAGAGCCAAATTCTCATAGGATCAAGGAAGAATATTCTTCTCTCAAGGTGATATGCAACTTCTTTACATCAACAGAAAAACAATGCTCAGAGGGGGCGAAGAAAGGTCTTGGACAGTTGTTTGGCTTCATGGGATTTTTGAGAGATAACTTGGAGCTACTGATTGACAGATGTTAAATCTGGATGCTAATAGGTAATAAGACAATTCCCAAGGCCAGTGTACAGGCCAAATGTACTGGTTTGTAGTGTTCATTTCTTCACTAGTTGTTTAACCCCAGAAGGAAGGAAGATAAAACTAAGTACGAAAGCTACTTTGACTTTGGGTTTTGTTTGCTTATTTTCTTTCCAAGGGGAAATAACTGGGAAATATATCAACTGGTGATTCCAAGTGAATTTAAGAGGCGTGGAGCCCCCCTTTTAAAGCTGAATTTAGCAAACTGCCACTGGGGACACAAGATGGAGACCAGAAGCTTGTTCTTGGGCTTGGCGTTCCTGTGTGTGGCTCTCACAGTGTTAACTGCGCTGCAGATGATAGACAGGCCTTCAAATCCTATTTCACTACTACCTGACAGGAATCACAGCTTTACATCAGAGTTAGGTATGATGTCAGAAAATACCCCTTGCAGAGGGTATACACTCTCTGGGCTGGTTATACACTGAAGGAAACTTCTACCGTAAAAAATAAACAAGGGTCACTTGGAAGAGATGGCTACTTTCTAATAACTGCCTTTAGTGAGAACAGAAAAGACTTCTTATAAGAAGGTTTTAATTCTTTAAGACTCAATTTTACTCTGAAAAAAAAAAAAAAGAAAAAGCAAATACTTCTGGAAGAGATTTCCCTCCCCTCCTGCACCTTTGGCCACAAGAGCACAGAGGTTGCAGATCAAGGAAAGAGTAGTCATAAATCAAGAGGAAATACTGGGATTCCACATATATAAAACTATTTCTCCTGTGTCTGTATTTCCTCTTTTCGTGGAGGAGAGGAAACTTAAAAATATTAGATAGATGTTTTGCCATTAACACCAGAAAAGGGAGTGGGGGGTGGATAAGGGGGGGAGGAGAAGACAGTGGATTTTATTAGAAAAAAAGGGACATAAATCAAAGCAGGGTATGAACGCCCCTGTAACTC